GTGGCTCTTCGCGGATTCTTGGAAATGACCGAAAGCGTCGGTGGAAAACTCGAGGCGGGGGCGACTAGAGCCACTGAATAACACTACGCGGTTTGAACGAAATAATGACGCAACTGGTGAATGATAATGGGTCCGAGTGACGTCACGTCGGGGACTCGGAGCGCGAAAGACGACCCTTCTAGACGGGTTCTAGGGATGTTGCGCTATTGGCGTATAGGTACCGGAGTGGCGGTACAGCCGCGAGGAGTTCGCGGACGGTCTGACTGGGAAGTCGCCCGTCGCCGGCTGATCGATAAACTTGCGCTTGCTCCCTCCGGCGCGCCGTCGACACACACAAACAGAAGGCTCATGTGTCCCCAAACTAGTTTTAAGGAGGCATGCATGCACGCGAGCACGATCGCGATCAGTCGCGATGTAACCGTAGCGTGAAACGGCCTCGCACCAGGCCACCGGGTGACCACCATCAGGTGCTGGACGTAGGCTGATCTCGCGCCGAAAAAACGATCACCGGGTCACGGAGCCGGCGATCAGCAGTCTGGCTAGACGGAGGGGACTCGACGGGAGACCTCGTGGGAACGTCGGCGGTCCGTCTAGGACCACGCCTGAGGATCCAGGTACGAGCAAAGGGAGCAGCCATTCGAAGAAGCCGGAATTTGATCTGGTCCAACTGGACGCTTTGACGAGAAGAAAGAAATACGGGTTATTTTACAGACGAAACTTGAAAATCACATTTTATTCCGCGAAAAAGTTTCCAAAGACTACTATTCAAAAAGCTTAGATCGATTTTCGTGCATTGCTAAGAGTTTTAAGTCATGAATAGATTGTAACAACTGACGCAAGGTACAAATGAAATTATGCGAGTGAGGTTCGAGAGGATCTAAATAAAGCAAAAATAATTAAATAATTAATTTGATAAGTCTTTTCTAAGAGAGAATTTCAAAAAATTATTTTTTAAAGTAAATATTGACTATAATTGATATTCGCTCCGAAATTTTCTTAATTGGAATTCATGGATGCAATGTACTTTAAATTAATGTATTTTTTGCTTAAAATTAACGTATATCTAAACGATTTTTTTTTCATATTAAAGGTAAAAATCCGAATTGTTACAATAAACCAAGCTGTTACAAACTACTCATGAAATAAGATTAAGTAACTTATAAGATTATGCAACTTAAAATTATGTGAGGTTGCGAAAAACATGTGTTGTAAACAATTTTGCACAACGTAATTTTAAAAAATGTTCAGATTCACAAGACCTGCTAATACTAATTAGAGTTAAAATTTAAAGAGAAATTCCGACTAATTTTTTTCAGGTATTAGAAAAATCAATTAAATTGCTATCGAACCAAAGTCTTCGACTTCCCATGGACACTGTGGCCTGCTCTCTTCGAGACGTTACCTCGTGATGAGCTGAGCGCACAATTATGAATCCAATTCGACGATACGAGACATATCGTTATCTCGGACATACAGACAGTCGCTGATAAGTTTCGTCATTGCGAAGATCTCTTCTAGAATCAGAACCGCGGGAAAAAAAGAACGGTCGGCGTGAGATCGGAGGGACAAAGGTCGAACCTGATCGGACCTGATCGGACCCGCGTCTTCGCGAACGCAGTTTTCCCGCCACGTGTCGGCCGCTACCTGTTCGTCGATGATTCAGGGAATCGCGATAGACGAATGACGCGAAATGCAGATAGCATCTTTAAGCGAGTTCCGTCAAAGCTCCGACGAGGAACAGCTTGATTGCGCGTAGGTTAAGGTCACGAGAACTCGTACAATTCGCGTGATGCAACGTGCGTTTCCAGGCCCGCTGGCCGGTCGATGTGTAACGCAAGGTACAGCTGATCAGACAATGAATATAAAATACGATTGCGCAGTCGATCTTCGCGCGGATGACTCGATTGTATCAGGTGACATTGATCTGTATCGATTAGAGAGTGACCTAGTTGTGTCTCGATTGTCTCAATTATAAAGCCCGCTTTTATGTTCTTCGTTTGAAAGAAATTCAAATATGCCTCCTCTACAAAAAAATAGACCGATCAAGCGGAGTCGGTATATGGAAAAAATTTACTGAAGATTTTGCTGAAGTATTCAAAAATTTAAGTAATTACAGATTTAAAAACAATTTTATTGTACCATCAAAATAATTATATATGAACTCAAATTCATACAATACATGCAAAAAATATTTTGCCGCCCCAGCTGAAATTATCTGTTTTTTTTGTATTTGATAAAAAATTATGTATCATACGCGTAGAATTTATAGCACTATATTCTAACAATATCTATATACAAGAAAATTTAAGTTTTATAATCAAATATGAATCACTGCTAAATATGAATCACATTCACAGTCATCTGATTGAACGTTAAGAGAAACTTTGTTGATAAATTTGACAAATAGTTCAGATATAAATTCTGTCTTTGCCATCTATATTGATTAGATACAAAACATACCCAATATCGCAATGCTTGTTAATCATTTATCTATTTGAGCTAATTTTTCGTATCTAGATAATTTTTCGCTATAACTACAGCATCAATTTTTTCAATGTACAGTGTACATTAATATTGCATATCATAAACGTTAAATTGCAACATTACGAATGTTGCATCAAAATTGTGAAATATAAATTCAATGTTAAAAAAACATTTACACTTCATATTCAATATCGCATATTCAATGTCTCAACAATGTTCTGTACAGTGTGAGAAGCATAATAAGCACTGATGCAAAAAGTTTTGATATTTTAGCAATCAGCTTGAGCATTCTACAAATTATTTTGATAGTCCAATAAAAATATTTTTAGATCTGTACACGGAAAGAACGGTTTCGCTAACGTATCTAAAATTGTAGCTAGATATACATCTGAAAATTAGGACGCTCAAGCTGCTTGCTAGAATGTCAAAACTTTTTGCATCAATGCTTATTATGCTCATTATGTTTGAGTGTCCTACATGTAATAATTTTGATAGTCCAACAAAATTATTTTCAGGTCTAGTTAAATTTTTAGATACTTCAGCAAAACAGTTCTTTCTGTTAGAAATCAATGAGAAATTGTATATTCCTAATCTTAAAAAAGAAACAAATAGAAATAAACATGAAGAATTATAAAAGAACGAATAAACAATAATTAGTATTAAACGAAAAGGTGAAAGAGCAGCTATTTTAAAATAATATCTTCCATATTCTAGAAAATTGCATATTCAATTTCGATAGAAACAAAATTTCTGTATGCTTGTTTATACAGTTACTACAGTTTATACAGTTTATACAATTGCAAAGTGACATTGACTGTTTAAAAGTATCAACATTACAGTTAAGATTACGAAGGCAATGTTGCTTAATCGAACGGTCGCGCATGTGATTTGGCCTTAATCAAGTCGCTCTTGCGGTTTTAATTTCCACACGTAAGGTCACCGCACGACTGAACGTTATCATCGTTGATGTACTCTTCTGTGACGATACCGAAATGCACTCGTGGATTTCATATACACATACAAGGCTAAATATCTGGCGATCTCGTGTAAAAATTAAACCGGTTTTAATTGACAATTGGATTTTTATTGAGATAAGAGGAAAATTATATGGAACGCGAATAACTTATTAACGTTATCATCCATGCAAATTAATTTAATTACATAATGGAGCATACACGATACGTGGAATTATCGCAAAACAGATTATCGCGATTCCTTCCGAAGCGGAACTCAAATAACAGGAAATTGAGCGTTACATATTAATTAATGACACATGTGATGTGTATGATACGACTATTTGCATGACACACGCGATAAAGACTCATAAACGCGACGAAAAATCACGGAACCATGTAGTGGTGGTGTCACCTCACATATGGTGGTACACGTTCATTCGATGTCGTTTCGCAGATGCGATTTAAAAATTCGGCAATTAATTTAAGAATAAAATCAATGTCGGAGGAATAATCGATTTTTCGAGTAATTTAAATTCAATTTACATTGATCACAGAAAACTCGCAGGTGGATCTTCAGAGTGACGTAAAGTTTGTGTGGCAAAAAAATCAGCCAAAAATTATCAATGTGGAAAGAACTTTGCTAAAAAAAAACCGAAAATTTTGCTGGATACACATCTAAAAATAATCTCGTTGGAAATTTAACTGATTGTTAGAATTTTTACAAAACTTCTTCCAGTTATATTGCTTACTATTTTTTAGTTTCCAACAATTTTTTTTAATGGTTCAACAAAATTATTTTTATATCCGTATGTATGTGCATATCTGTATATATATATATATACATATATATACATATAGCAAAATTTTAGACCTTTCAGCAAAATCATTTTTTCCGTGTGACAATATATTTATATACTGATTTTGCACGAGACACGTCATGAAAACGTTTAACGCTTTGAACGTATCATTTTTTTCGAATTAGAAAATTATGTTTGATATGTTATAATTATATTATGTGCTTATCGAGTAGGCTTTTGAGATTTCTTTAATAGTGATTTTAACACGGAAAGGACGGTTTTGCTGAAGTATCTAAAAACTTAACTAAAGACCGATCTGAAAATGATTTTGTTGGACCTTCAAAATAATGATGTAGGTCGCTCAAACTGATTGCTAGAATATCAAAACTGTTTATAACATTACTTATCATGTGATTTCTACGAATAATTTGATGGTCCAGTAAAATTATTTCAGATCTGATCATAGTTAATTCTTTTTGATACTTCAAATCGTTCTTTCCGTGAAGGAACTCTGATTAAGCCGAATGCGTCACTAATTTAGCATTTAAAATAACATGACAATTATTTGACAGTGATCCTCAGGCAGGAAGAGGTTGCTTACCTTTCTTCGATTGGCACGTCGCTGGATGACACATTTTGATTTTCGCCGTAATTAATAGCAGTTCCTGAACGAATCTAATCAGCGAGAAAAAGAGAGAGAGAGAGAGAGAGAGAGAGAGAGAGAGAGAAGAAAAAGATAGTCGCTCTCGGCATAATTACGTAATTTACATTATTTGTGTCCTGAAATACAACCGCCGCCGTCGTCGTCGTTGTTGGCGACGCGAGTCTTATCATTCTCAAAAGAGAATGGCTGTATATTCGCGGCAGCGAGTATCACGCAGCCTTCAGTAGGATGATGATAGAGGGCCAGGTGCATCAACATCCGGTACGAGTGCCGCCCGACAAGTCGCAGCCGCTTCAGAATGCCAATACCATCAAGTTCGAAAAGTACGTTAGAAAGTATTGTACAAAAAGTTTTCGGTCTCTCGATCTCGTGAAAAACATAACTAATGTCGGGTTGAAAAACATGAATTTACGTCTCGAGCGCCAAAAAACGGCGACTAATAGTGCTTTCGGCATGGGACTGCGAATTAAAGAAGTATCACGTGACGGAGTTAATAATCGTTAAATTTATTCACTTGCGTGCGACTTTACAATGATTGATCGCACGCACGCACGCCACGCGCTCCTCATTCATTCGACATCGATTCATTTCACAATCCAAACTAAGGCTTCGACATTCGAACTTTGAGGCTTCGAATTAGGTATTAAAATCATTGAAATTTTGAAGCTTCAAAATTTCGATATTTCAATCTTCGAAGCTTCGAAAAATGAAAATTATATAATTATTCATTTAATATAACTAATGGTAACACAAATATTTTCATTAAAAAATATACAAATATATTTATGAATATATTTTCATTGTTTTTCTATTCGTACAAATTTATTTCTTGAAGTTTTGAAATTAACTTCGAAGACACGAACTTCATAAGTTTGAAGTTAATTTTGAAGATTTAAATTATTTCCAAGCCTCGAATTTCCAAAGTTGTCAAAAGTAACAGCTCTAATTCAAACATCTATTTAATTTTATATCGTTAAAAAAGAGTGAATTTTTTCAAAATAATTGCACGACTTTTAATTCCTTATAACTAACAATTATTTGACGCGATGATCGATGATCATAAAGATTTCTAAATATAAGATATGATCTTTTTTTAATTTTCAAGTAAAAAAAATTCAAGTAAATCGAAAGAAATGTTATATCTACAGGCATAATGTATACCTACTACCTAATATTCGACTATTTCATTACCGGACTGTAGACCGGCATGCGACAATTTTATTCCAAAGTATTGATAAATTAGCGGTCCAAGCTTATCGTCCTTTCACACGGTACAGATTAGTAATTGTAGCAATATTGCAACTTTTCAATATTGCAGTGATCATTGCAAACGTTACAGCAATACTGCAAGCTTCCGTGCTGTGTACAAATATTGACGTTAAGAGTTAATGAGACTCTTCTCTTACAGAGAGAGAAATCCAATTTACGCTGTTAGATATCAAAGGAGTAATGGTAATCCAATCTTTTGATAGTGTTTTGTTATTTTTAACTTCCATGTGTTTCAAAATGTAAATCAATCCATTTCTGTGGTTAGTGTTTCAAAGTAAATAACATCTATATTAACATATGCACTTAGTAAATAATGAACTAAATTTGAGTGAAATTTAATACATTTTGTTGAGTTGAATTGTTTAACTCCATTTTTTTAGTTAAATTAAAGACAAATTAAATAGGAATAGTAGCGACTTATAAAAATGGTTAAGAATAACTCAAATTTGGTATAATTTGACATTATGAATTTAAAAGCGTAATACTGGCCAATTTAAAACTGCAAATTATTTATTTTGAGTATTAAAACGTTAAACAACAGTGCTTTTAATACTCAAAATAAATATAATTAATCATTGCCTTCCAATATTAAATTTTTATAAATATTCGATATTCGTGAGGAAAAATAGGAGTTCCTAAATCTATTTTACCGATTCAGTTTACCGATTTACAGACATATACATGACACATCACTATACACATCGATATCGCACGTACACACACGTACAAATTTTTTAACTAACTAATCTTTCATATTAAGGATCTAATTCTACGTTCTCAAGATTGTTTGTTCATGTAACCAAGTTGTTTTATATGCGTACGAAATATAAAAGTTATATATAAAGCAAATACTATTATGAGTCGACGTCAGAAATCAGTAACAAAACTGTAGTTTTCCAACTTTCTTTCGATTTTGGCATAAAGTCGTCCTGTTTGGACTACATTATCGTTTATACTTTAATTGTGGAGAAAAGATGTTTTTATCTGTATATAAAGGCAGTTAGAAAAATACTTTTTAAAAAATAATCAGTAAAACAGACGACTTTAGGATCCCTTTAACCAACGGAGATTTTCCTTCTGTCAACAGTGAGCAATGTAAGGAGCCCCTGCTTCCGGAGAAGCAGAACTCCCACAGGATGACACCAACCGATGGTCGTTCGCGGACCACCTCCGAGTCAAAGGATACCACGACCACCGCCACCACTACCGTCAGCACCGCAACGACCACCAATGGACAAGCGGCAGCTGCGAATACCACCGGTGGACACACCACCGATGACTGCCTTGAGGTAACGATCTTTGACGAGGGCATTGATGGCGGCCGATTGCCGGACGTCGTCGCCGAGAGCAAGATCTACGGCGTGACCGAAGAGGATGAGCCGCTCGAGTCGTACTTGGCAATTACCATCCAGGTCTTCATACCCTTCCTAATCGCCGGCCTGGGCATGGTGGGTGCCGGATTAGTCCTCGATCTCGTCCAAGTACGAACCTTTTTTACTCTTATCATAATAATAAACTCTCACGTGGATCTTTAGAAATATCTTATGAGATGTGTATTGAAAAATGTTTTGATTAAACCAACAAAATGTACCAAAATGCCATTCTTATCGATACATTTTGTTGATACGTCTAATCCAAACAATTTTCTCAGTAGGAACGTCAAGGCAATCAATTCGACGACACGCGATCGTATTCTTAAATAGAACGTGTCTAATATGTTGATTTCCACCAACGTAGATTAACTTTAATCGCCGTTTAATTTACCTTTTATCTGTTCCTCAGGAGTAGAAGTAAAAAAGTTAATTAAACCAAGATTAAAGTTAATCTACATTGATAGAAATGAACATAGCTCATATAATTGTTTCCATTCGTAATGTCGAGTATTTTAATTAAAAGTACGCGATTGGATTGTTTGAGAAAATAAAATTACTTAAATTGATTTCAATATTTAATCCAGATTTAAATTCAATCTTTATTTGATTCGTTAATTAATCGGTTCCACATATTGAAGATCGTCGATTTCAAATTAATATGATTAATAGCATTGATATTTAAATATTCATGTTCTTTTGCAGCACTGGGTAGTCTTCGAGAAAGTCAATGAGCTCATGATTCTGGTACCGGCGCTTCTAGGGCTGAAAGGTAATTTAGAAATGACTCTGGCGTCGCGTCTTTCTACTCAAGCGAATCTTGGACATATGGACATGCCAAAGGAGCAATGGCACATGATCATAGGCAATCTCGTTTTAATACAAGTAAGTAACAGTCATTAATTCAACCGGACTGAAGAATAGACTAATTCTCAGTAAACACCAAATTAAAAGAAATGTAACATTAATGTTATAACTTCATACTCTTTCAATAATGTATGATGACTATTATGTAACATATATGTTATATTATATTTATATCGTTGAGTATTATATTATAATATCGATGCTATCTCTTAGTTGGTACCCAGTAAATATCAATTAACATAATATTAATGTTATAATTTTACATTTAACAATGTAATAGTTACATTGTGTTAAGTATGAAATTATAACATATATAATTAATATAATATATATATATATATGTTATTGTTAGTTGATGTTTACTGGAAGTTTACTGGTTTTTCCGACGCAAGATGATTGATTCGCGTGTTTTCCATGATAATCGACACAAGTACAATTGGTTACCTATTTCGCGAACCTTCATAGTATACGATGATACGAAATAATACAAGAATTATCAACAGATGCGTCAGATGCGTTATTCTGGCACACATAAAATCTCAAAGTAAACCTCGGACGCTCCTCCTGCGTTCAGCCGCAAAAGTTTACTTTCGTGAAACTGGTTCTAACTAGATGTTCTATAATTAAACGATATTTACCGTTTGTCATATGACTTCTAACTTAATTCCGTTCGAATACATTGCGAAACGCCATATTGGCTCGCTTTGGCGCCGTGTATTTTTCCTCCTGGAACCTCTTTTCTGCGGTCGGTCCACCCGTTTCTTTCAACTCCTCTAAAGAGTACGCGTTCGCGACGTCTTGCTCAATAACTATGAAACGCAATGCACGGAAAAGTTCTGCGCTATTAATCATCCGGCTTCTTATCTCATCTAGTATCCTTATCATCTAGTATAAATATATCCATGAAATTTGATGTTTTTTTTTTAAATTCAAGTTTAGCCCTTTGTGTTCAATTTTAGCCTCGCAAAATTTCCAGCTACGATAAATGAAATTACTGTAATCCGCGAATCCCGATAAATGTGCCGATCGAATCATTATCGATCCATCCTCGAAATTGTAAATTGGCAGAAAATACTGTGGAAAACGATACAGGCAATTTAACCCGTGGTTAATAGCTAATTGTGAAACAAAGCGACGGCATGATTTTGGAAAAGCAAACAATATTTCTCCTATCCGCTCAATTTAGCCGATTTAGTGAATCGTGCTACACGCGTATTACCTGTCTTATCGTTGGCGCCACGATTTTATTTTATTATGTGTTCAACACTGGCGATGATAGACGACGGCCTTCAGGAAGCCGACTGTTTGCCATACAATCCTTAGTACAATAAGCGAACGCAAGCTGGTTACCTCACGAGACAAGCCGCGCGATAAACTACACGTATGCTCCGGTATCTACACAGAAAGAACGATTTTGCTAATGTATCTAAACATTTAACTAAATACAGGTCTAAAAATAACTTTGTTGGTCAAAATAATGATATAGGAATGTTCAAGCATAATAAGTAATACTGCAAAATTTCAACATTAGCAACCAATTTGGGAGTTTTACATAATTATTTTAATAGTCCAACAAAATTATTTTTAGATCTGTATAAGCTAATGAACCTCTCAATCTTCATAATTTAATTACATGGAAAATTATATAGAAAATTGGATTCCGGTCAAATGATCATTCAACTCTATTACTGTTTGTTCAGGTTCTGATTAAGTTGACATTGAGCAGTTCTTATCAGGTACGCCTGTTCATTTCTTGTTCAGGTGCCAGGATGATATCAGGTAATTCTTATCAGATACATCCTGTCATTACATGCTCAGATCCTGATAAAGATGATGTCAGGAAAACTACTTCAGACAGACCTTACTCTTACCTGATTGAGTCCTGATCGTACGTCAGGCATGCCTGATCAAATTTCTGCTCGAGGAGTTTTCACATAATAATGTAGCTTATAATGTAGTGAACAAAAGATATCATAAACAAGGCTCAATAAAAAAGTTTTTCAACTATGGTGTATCAAATTAAAGGTATTTTGTGAGCACATTTTTTATATTTTTAGATGTTTCAACAAAAATCGTTCTTTCCTTGTTGAAAATTGTTCTTTTCGATTAATATATTTCCAACTTTCCATATAATATACTGCAGAATTTTTCTTAGATAAAAGTGTTTTAGAAAAACCAATATATCATATATTGACGTGTATATATTATAGAATCAGCAGACGTTTATAATTTCCGACGATAAAAATTAAATATAATTTCCTAAATATACAAAAAATCTCCGCAATGATTGTATGTAATGAATTTGCAATTATATAACGTATTTAAAACTAAAGTTTCCAAATAAAATTTAAAAGATATCAACGCACTCGACAAGTATGCTAGTACAATGTAGATTATAAAGTTCTTAGAATTATCAGTCAACAAATCTAAAACTTTTTTTGTAGCTTGTGGCTGGCTGTTCTTTCAATTTTTTTCCGACATTGAAAATATCTTGCAAAATATCTATCAAATTGAATATTTATTAACGCACAGTTAAATTGAAAGTCTTAAAATTTTAGCTTTTTTGCTGATTTTCAACATGATATATCTTACAATCAGTAACTGTAACTAAGAAAAATTGAAGAAACAAGCAAAGGGATTTAATTTCTCTTCAGCCATCAAGTTTTTTCGGAAGATCTGTTACTCGGGGCTAAAAATCATCCTAATCGTGCGCAGTGTCAAGCGATAGTGGTGGGATTTCTGGGTTCCGTGGTGGCGATCGTGATGGGTGCCTTCCGCAACGGAACGGTTTCCCTGGACCATGCCTATCTACTGTGCGCCAGCAGTTTGGTCACCGCGTCCCTCGCTTCCTTTGTTCTGGGCCTTATTACCGCGGGCGTCATCGTCTTTTCCCGTCATTGCCATATCAATCCGGACAATGTGGCCACGCCGATAGCCGCCAGTCTCGGCGACATCACGTCGTTGGCTCTCCTCTCATGGATCGCCACCATACTCTATGAATGCATAGACAAGCAGGACTGGGTGGCACCTCTTGTCATAGCCTGTTATGTCCTTGTAACGCCGCTCTGGGTTTGGATCGCCAAGAAAAACAAATATACCAACGATGTGCTCTACTTCGGCTGGACACCAGTCATGGTGGCCATGTTAATCAGCAGGTAAAGAAAGACAGTTTCTCAAATTCTTTGAAACTTTTTTGAAGCCTGACAGTAGATAAATCATAATATAGCATACAAATGTTGAATCAACGGAAAGAAGAATCTACAATTGCGAAATTTTTCATAGCTGCGGCGGTCTTATATTGGAGTTTATGGTGTCGCGCTTCGAGAACCTGACAGTGTTCCAGCCAGTCATCAACGGCGTCGGCGGGAACCTGGTAGCCGTTCAGGCCAGCAGAATATCAACGGCGCTTCACAAACAAGCCGAACTCGGCACACTTCTAATCCCACCGGGCCACACGCACCCCGTCATCTTCATCACCCCAATTGCCAATTTTTTCGGGAAAGGTATCTTGTTTCGTTTTTTTTTTAAATAATCAAGATTTTTCGTGATTCTTCATTGCCTCTCTTCAGGTATGCACGCTAGAACCACGAGAGTCCTGATGACAATGGTGATACCGGGCCACGTCATTTTCATTTACCTGATCAATTACATGAAGGACGGTAATACATCGATGACTCCGCTCTTCGTCTTCGTTTACCTCTGCGCAGCGATGCTGCAGGTCGCAGCTCTCCTCTACATCGCCTACATAATGATCCATTGGATGTGGAAGCGAAAGATCGATCCCGACAACTCGGCGATTCCATATCTGACCGCGATGGGTGATTTACTCGGGATTAGCCTGCTGGCGATTGCCTTCCAATTTCTGTACCTGGTCGGAGATCAAGATTTCGACGCGCCCTGACCGTAGTAAGATTAATTTTTGTATAATCACGAGCGTAACTAATAGCAATTATGACAATTTCGACATAGCATTCCCTTAAAATGACATAACTGAAAAAATGTGATTCTTGAGTTTACCATAAATGAATTCAGTTCAAAACATTATTATCATCTAAAGTACAACTCAAAAAGGATAGTTTAAAAAAGATTTCATCAAAATTGTCACAATTTGAAAAAGCAATTTTTTAGAGTTCTGAAAATGACAAAAATGATTGTTTTAAGGATATATTTTTGCTGATAACATCTGATTAGTCAAGAATTTTTTACCAAGTTAAAAATAGTTTTTTCTTTCTTTCCTGAGAAATTTAATTCTTTAAAAAACAACAACAAAATAATCTACTACATAAAACTTTTAATAGAAAATTTTTTAAATCAGACTCCTTTTATTAAAATAAATACGAAAAAATCAGGCCATAGGAGTTAATACGCAAGTTATTAGTAACCTTAGGTTAAAACTGTCTGTGAATAATTCCGCTTTACTATTAACTTGCATGTTGACTCCTATGGCTTGATTTTTTCGTATTTATTTTAATTCTTTAAGTTGAGCAAGGAAGCGATATGTGTGCTAATTTTATTATTTGTACAAATCTTAATTACATTATAATTAAAATTACCTTCTTGGGAATATAGTATGATATGAAATCATTATACAGTAATGGGAGAAAGTTCGGCAACGGTTAATTATCTTGAAAAATAATGATTATGGAAAAAAATATTCAATACAAAAGTTTTAGTATATCAAGTGGTCTATTATTACGGTTATATTGAAATGACCTTCATGTGACCTTGAAGGACACCGTGAAGGTCAACTTTGAAATCTTAAATGGAAACACCTATTTTCTTTTACATATTCTTAAAGCTGGTGTCAAGACGTTTCCGAAACACTGGTTACAAACCCTTTTTGCTTGAGATCTTCCTGAGTTACGAACCTTTAAAGTTTAAGTATCGCCGGCGCGTTATCTAAGGTGTACCGCGTGGAGGTAGTATCGATGAAGAAGTACGATAGTCCATACTATTAAAATCGATTCATTATCTTCATGACTACTTTTGGATAATTAAAACTGTTCAATAACACATCCTCGTCGCGGTACATCGTTGGTAGGATAAATCTTACTTTTTGTCCTTTTGTAGCTTAAGTGAATCAAACTGTTCGATCACTTAATTGACCGCCTTTGGATAATTAAAAACAAGAGTTATCGTCCTTCTTGATTTCTCAGATCTTCTTTAATTATACGAGTAAGCAGAAGATAATGAATCGATTTTAATAGTATGGACTATCGTACTTCTTCATCGATACTACCTCCACGCGGTACACCTTAGATAACGCGCCGGCGATACTTAAACTTTAAAGGTTCGTAACTCAGGAAGATCTCAAGCAAAAAGGGTTTGTAACCAGTGTTTCGGAAACGTCTTGACACCAGCTTTAAGAATATGTAAAAGAAAATAGGTGTTTCTATTTAAGATTTCAAAGTTGACCTTCACGGTGTCCTTCAAGGTCATATGAAGGTCATTTCAATATAACCGTATAATAGACCACTTGATATACTAAAACTTTTATATTGAACATTTTTTTCCATAATCATTATTTTTCAAGATATTTGACCGTTGCCGAACTTTCTCCCATCACTGTATATAACGATATTAAAAATCAATTATATCGGGAAGCTTTGCATACGATGATAAAATTTCTATCTAACATTTTCTCGAACTTTCATGGTCATAATGATTGAAAAATCAATTTATCGCATGCTCAATCGATGGAACGATTTACAAATGCTCGAACAAGGCGTGTTGCATTTTTCTTTTGCAGGAAGTCGCAAATTATAGCGTTCTTCGGCAGGCGGGACGCACAAGTTAGAACTGTCGGACCGAAAGGGCATTCCTACGAGGCTGTGGTCGTCTGAAAGTATATTCCACCAAATCTAATCATCGATCTGCCAGTCCGCCGACGAGTCCCACGGACGGACGATCGCAATGGTATTGCTTGGCAAAGTATTAATAATTCACCACTTGTATCCTGTGTTCGCCAAGAATTAATTAAAGATTAGGTATCTTGGGACTGGTTGTTTGCATTTTGTGAAAACCGGTCAAATTATTTCCATTATCGATGCAAACGTCTCTCAATACTTAATAATTCATAATTTTTTTTACAAACGCAAAATATAAGTGGCCGATCATTCGTACCTTGTCAAGTCGAGCGGGCGCGTACTCAGGTTTCAATTAGTTACTAATATATCAGAAGATAATACGAAGTCGGTAGCACGTAGCAAATTAATTCGTCGACTATCTAAAAATTATATTTTAACAAAACGTGGAATTTTTCTCAACAATCCTAATTCTGGAATTCAAGCCTAAAGTTTGAGAATTAATTTCTTCTAGAAAAGCGATAGAAGCATTTAATTAACGGCAATAATTTTCCTCGGCATATATCTCTCGAGCGAGTAAAGCCTAAGATTCGCTAGTCCCGAAACTTAAGGATTTCAAGATCCTAAGAGCATAATTCTCTTCACTGTATTATAAGTAAAAAATTGAAGGTTGTCGTATTTTCCAGTTAGAAATAATTTACGAAGTTACATATTAAATTACAATCGCGAGAATTGCGATAGCAATTTAATGTTAGGACTCCGTAAGTCCAGAGTTCGTTCATCCTCGGACTCACAGCGAGAATTCTGGCTCTTCCACGGAGCGCGCGCGCGTAAATAAAAGCACGTGTAGTCGCAATACCAACGCGTATGTGTCTTCGAATAGTTGCCTTCGTATACGACGAAATTTAGATAGGTATTTAGAAGCTGCCACACGACCTATTTTTGGAAGCTTTGGAGAAGCTCTCGGAGATTTTACTCAAAGCCCTTAAAATAGCCCTGCCGCATAAAGTCCTACTTTAGCTCTTACGATGCGGTTTAATAGGAATTCGGTCTTCCTCGCGCAAATAACTAATTCTGAGATTTTTTAATCTTCTGAATTGTTTATCGATAGTATGCGGAACGCCTCTCGGTTCTAGAAAATAATCCTTATAGAAATTTAATACTAGTATTAGTCAATTACTTATTAGTGATTACTTATTTTGAGTATTAAAAATATTGTTAATATGGTACTTTTAATACTAAAAATAAGTGATTAATTAGCCAGTATTAGTATTAAATTTTTATAAGAGATTTGCCTGAAAGATAGGATGCATTATCGGGCTTATAAAAGTCGAGTCGATGACGTGAGTCATTGTAAGTACGAGAGCCAGCAGAATCTCGTGCGATAGAGCGATAAAAATCCAGTAAAGACCGTAACACAATCCAATAAACTAACAGTAGCATAACATCAATGTCATAATTTATTCACATTAAATGTTGTAAATGTAACGTAACACATGTGTTACATAACAATTACAATGTGAAATTATAACATTATCATACAGCATAAATTATTCTAGTACTATTGCAGTAATACTGAAACGTTATCATACAACAATGTTGCTGCAAGCCTCTAATACTGTAAAGGATTGATGTTATATGTTATTGTTAGTTGGTGTTTACTGAAAATACATTTGCTAGTTTTCAAAAATTTAGAGAAAATATTGGGATATAAACGCGATGATTGCAGCTTATCGTCTAAAACTGGCATAGGAACGAGTGAGCAGTTATTAAGAAATTAATTCATAAATTTCACTCGATCGACTGTATCGAGGTGTCGTTAGCCGATTGGAAAGTCCGCGCGGCAAGGATGAACCTTGGCGAAATTGTACGCGAATAGCATCGCTTCGAAGAGGAAACACGATGGGTGATATTGAAAGCCGAATACATTTACAAATCAACGTCCCGTTGACGATTATCTCGGACATTATGTGAACGATTTAACCCTCCAGAACTGACGCCAAAATCTATAACACAGCAATTACTGAAGCTGAGTCTAATAAACCTATTTAATTTATATTAATTAATTCTCTAACGGTAAAGTTTTTTTCTGGATATTTAGAACATATCCAGAAAGGTGGAATCGAATCTGACTCTCGATGCTGTCTGTTTTATTCATTCATCTAATCAATGTACAAAATGAGTAAAAAATAACATGAAAATTCATTCTCTGTTTATTTATAGATAAAAAAATTATACATGAATATTTATAGACGAAAAAAGTATAAAATACGCACATAAGTGAAGAAAGCCATTTGACCAAAACGGATGCTCTGATACCTAAAAATATTTTTGAATAAATTTTACAATTTCCAATTTAAGTAAAGAAATACAATACTTTATTAACCTAGTTTAAATAATTGCAGTAAAACAGAAAACGCTTTGACTGAAGACGTGAGGTTCCCTACAACACGAAATATTATAGTAATATTACAGCAATATTACTTTAAAAGATTGCAATATTTCATAAAGCATTGCTGCAATATTGTAGTAATATTCTTATGTTGGCAGAACTAAAATATTACACCAATATTTAAAGAAATATTTTAGGTATGTTGCTGCAACATTATGCAATATTTCAATAATTAATCCAGTTTTATTAATTGCTAAAATATTATTACATTGCTTAGCATGATAAAGTTAATAAAAAAACATTTGGTGGTTTAGAAAGCACACCGCAAAGATCTTGGAAATCCCCAGAAGACGCCAATTCATTTTGCATACGGCTTCTTATAGACCTCCTGTACGTTTCCTTCTTACGAGAAGCGTCCATCTCGTAGCGGGATCACATACTTACGCATTGAATTATAATATTGCTTATATTACAATATTTCCTACAAAATAAAATTATGATATTTCATAATATTGTAATACTTCCAATTAAAATATTAAAATTTTAATATTGCTGTAACTTTTGTAATATTGGGCAATATTGCTGCAATATTTTGTGCTGGAGGGCATCATATTTGATTTCAATCTTATTATTAGACAGTTAAAAGGCACAAATGTTAATTTTAAGAAAAAAATGGCATAAAAAGAATGTACATTCAATAGGTTAAATAAGAGCTGTTCGAGCCCGGCTAGTATTCGAGTGTCGTGTATTGTGTACAGCTCTTATTTAACCTATTAAATTTTATTCTATCGAGCCAAACAATATAATTATTTTATAATTTTTAAGAGTATGTATATTATAAAAAGAATGTATACTCGTATAAAAAAAATATTAAGTATATTTTAGTAAAAATAATTCAAATTTATAGATGTAACATAAAAAAATGGAATTATTTAACATTTTTGACAAAAAATTTATAATTGAATCCAATAAACCCACCGTCAGCTCTAGAGGATTAATTCGCATCCTGATACAATTGCAACACGTAGTACAACACGTTTTTGTGTTTTAAGCGATACTTCGAACGATATATTAATTTCGCTTGGGGGCTGTCCATATATTGCGTAAGCATAATTGGGGGAGGGGAGGGAGTCAGACAAATTCTTACGAATGCTTACATGGGGGGAGGTCGTATATATTCTTACGTAAGACTTTTGTCTGAAATTTTTTCAGTGCAATTATATCGTTTGTATAATAATATTAAAAGAATCGTGTAACTGCCTTGAAAATTTTTTTAGTCTTGGACATCGAACGTGTGCAAAAATCTTACGTAATTATAAGGGATCTCTCCGAAATCCTTACGCTTGCTTACATGGGGGAGGGGGGGGTTAAAAATTTGCTTACGTAATATATGGACGACCCTTTGGTGCGTCTGTCGCGGCTCATGTGGGCAATACGCACCGCTGTATAGTACTGTAAATTAGGATATTTCGTAAAAAAAAGAGAAGAAGGGAATGAAAGGACGTCGTTACATTCCGTGTACATATTACCGTATAACGTACGTATTTTACGTACGATACGTACAATATATTATAGGCGCCGCATCAAGGACTAATATTTAGTCTTCGCGATGGGGGAGAGGGATTCACGTCCAAGTCGACATCGCCTTTCGGCCCACACATGTTCAGTATTATCGCTTTTACGACGTTGCCTGGAATCATCGAGATATCCTTGGTGAAAATTTTTCTTAGAATACTTTATATAATTTTTTCAGAATTTCTATATAAATTTCAGAATCTTTCAGAATTTCTGTATGGTTTTATACATATATTATACTCCACTGTTTATTAACTATTAAATAAATACATATGAAGTAAATAATCATACATTTATGAATAAATCAAATAAAATAGCCAATATTGTCAAGGATAAGGATAAATTTTGGATCTTGATGCCTAATAGTGTTTATACATATGTAAATTTTAAATACATCTTTCAGGTATATAAACTGCATTGATTAGTTGTCGGACTTGAAACATAATCATAAACTGAAACTGAAATAATATCATCACAAATTAAATTGATCATCATTTTAATAATGATGCTAATAAACCTCTTAAAATACTGCAAATAACTTATTGCGAAAAATGTACATTGTTTGTCGCACCTACCTTAGCTCAGTTTCTTCATTCTTTTTATAATTTTATTATAACTTTTTAAAAAGTTTATCAAATTTTTTTATACGAATTGAAATACTTTTTACAAATGCTGAAAAAGTCGATATCTTTTCTAGAATGCTTTATGTGTGAATTCTGAAATATTCTAAGATTTCTCATTCTACACAAGTATTTCTCGAAGAAAACTTATAAATTTAAAGAAATTTAAGATATAATTTTTTAGAAATCTTCATAAATTTAAAATATAAAAAATTCTTAAAAATATAAATTATGAATAATGTTAACTGATTTATTATAATGTTAACTGTAATATATCGTAATATATATCGTAATATATATCGTAATATATATCGTTAAATATTGTAAGATATTGTAAGAACTTTTTTCACCAGAGGTATGACAGAGGTATTCCGATTCCGCCGACAGAACGTCCTGCTTCTTCGGCGTGCGTGTCTTCTTGCGAACTGCGTTCAAATCGATCCGATTAAGATAGCACAGTGCACTTATACGAGTAAAAAAAAAAGAAGAGAAGAATCGCGGCGGAATGTGTCGTGATCGTGTTTTAACAGTGCATGAATTCAACTGAATCTACCGAATATCATTTTCACCTCGCGGTTAGTTGCTTTATAAGTTTCGTCAACGTGATAAAATAAGATAATATAAAAAAAAAGATAAAAAAACTGCGCAAACGTAAATTCTCGGAGCAATACGCGTTGCGTTTCGTTATGCAGTTGAGTATCTTAAAAACTTTTATTGTTCGTAGCGCCATGTAGTGATTGTTATTTGCTTTATTTTATATAAAAAGCAGTGTACACATATTCTTTTCTTTTTATATATCATTTGTTAGTATCTGACGAGCACAATTGATCGTATCATGAAGAAACGTGCTATAAAAATACGCAGACAATAAATATGCAATCTGAGGGCGGATGTGTAAAGTATTTTGTATGTGTAAAAAAGTTGAAGGGAATTTATATGATCCCCCTGTACAAAACCGACTTTTGCAAATAAAAATGAGACAAAAAAAACGACATATATTTTAAACCATTTTACTCTCGCTACTTGTAAAAACTTTTGAAAGGGAAAGAAGGATATTGAAGGAAAAAAAAATGCTGCCACTCGATCGCCGGATTACAAATCTTCGTCTTGACGTGATACACCTATAAAGAGTAGTAGGACAGTAGTCGTTCAAACTTTATCCGTAAACAGCGTAAATTAGAATGATGAATGTGCAGACAATAATAGCACAGGCGGAAGGAGAAAGGAGAAATATTTTGTATACGATCACACCATGTGTTCTTGCGAACAATAGAACTGGATAATGTTTCAACGAGGAGATCGAGCAGTGTATTTTCCTTACAAAAGTCCAATTTAATATTGATCAATTTAATGTTGAAAATTATTTATTTTCACTAATTAAAAGCACTGGACAACAGTGCTTTTAATACTTGGAATAAGTAATTAATATTACCTTCCAGTATTAAAATTTCTGTAAAAGTTCGGAAATAATGGTTCCTATCTACGTTAAGTCTACGTTTTAAAGTGTTAAAAAGAAATGTGGGAGA